CTTTACTTTACTTTTTACTTTACTTTACTTTTTACTTTACTTTACTTTTTACTTTACTCTTTACTTTACTTTACACTTCACTTTACTTTACTTTACTTTACTTTACCCTTAACCTTACCTTACCGTACCTTACCTTACCTTACCTTCCTTGATTGATTGATTGATTGATTGAATGAATGAATGAATGAATGAATGAACGAACAAGCTGGAAGGGACCTTGGAGGTCTTCTAGTCCAGCCCCTTGCTCAAACAGAGAACTTACCTACCCCATTTCAGACACAAGATTTTGTCCAGTCTTTTCTTAAAAACCTCCAGTGATGGAGCACCCATAACTTCTTGAGACAAGCCGTTCCACTGATGTTGTGGTTCGCCGGCAGTAGATGTGGATGGCTGAGGTCTCGGAGAGTGAGGACTCGGATGAGGGGCCTGCCTGGGATGCAGGGATGGGGCCAGGACCCTCAGGGAGTGGAGTGCGGCCTTCGGAGATGGTGGAGGCTGGCAGCAGTGAGGAAGAGGTCCCTGAGGAGCCTGTGTCCAGCGTGCATGCGCGCAGGGCTGCTCGAAGGGAAGAGCAGCTTCCTGAAGGGAAGAGCAGCATGGGAAACTCAGTAAGGCTGCGAGGCAATGGCCCCTCCCTTAAGGGATAAAAGCCAGCCTGAGAGACCGGGATTCTTTGCAGGAAGCAAGGAAGGTTTTGCACTCAAGTCTTGTGGACGTTCTGTTAGTTGGTGTTTGGAGACTCTTTGTGTTTGAACTATTTCTTGGCAACTTTATCTAGTGTTCTTGGCAGCCTTGCACCACCTTGTCAGAGACAATGAGTTTGAAACAGCCTTTTAACCGGGAAGGAACGGAATCTGTAAAGAATCATTAAAAGGTTTTGCTGTTACCTCCATTTCGGGTTCGTTTCCTTGGAACCAGGTTTGGGTCAGAACAACTGATTGATTGTTCAAAAAGTCAAGAAATTCCTCCTGAGTTCCAGGTTGCTTCTCCCCTTGATTAGTTTACATCCGTTGCTTCTTTTCCTGCCTTCAGGTGCTTTGGAGAATAGCTTGACCCCTTCCTCCTCTCTGTGGCAGCCCCTCAAATATTGGAAGGCTGCTCTCCTGTCACCCCTGGTCCTTCTTTTCATCCAACAAACCTACCCGATTCTTTGTATGTTTCAATCTCCACTCCCCTAATCCTCTTGGCTGTTCTTCTCTGCGCTCTTTCCAGAATTACATCCTTCTTATATCTTGACAACCTAAACGGGATGCAATATTCCAAGTGTGGCCTTACCAAGTGTGGCCTTATCTCTTAATGGTTGTCCCAAAAGTGGGTGTTTTGTTTTGTTTTTCAAAAGGCAACTGGATTTTCTTGGTTTTTTTTTTCCCTTGAAGACATTTCACTTCTCATCCAAGAAGCTTCTTCAGTTCTTGAAGTGAAGAAGCTCCTTGGATGACAAGCGAAACATCTTCAAGGAAAAAAACCAAGAAGGCCCAGCTGCCTTTTGAAGAAAAAAAACAAACCACCTTTGGGACAATCATTCTCTGGCTAAATCTCATTTTGTTTTGGGAATGTTTATGTCATGCCCTTGGTGGAGACTGACTCTGAGGGAGAGGAGGAACGGCCGACAGGGAGTGGAAGTGTGGCTCCGGAGGTTGTGGAGGAGGCTGGGGAAGGGCAGAGACCGGCTGGGAAGTCAGAGGAGGACCTAGGCCCATCCCCTCTCCATCCTAGGGCACGCAGGGAGGAGAGGATAAGGGAGAAATGTGGTCTACAGGGGAGGAGAGGGCCTTGATCCCCTTCATGGGCTGCAGCTGCGACAACTGAATAAGAGGACGGACCCGCGTAAGGGCGAGCGCTGGAAACAAAGCATGGAAATATCTCTAGTTTATGGTTCCTCTCCGAGTTTGGAGTCCTTCCCAGTGTGTGTTCTGTTAGCAACTCAATCTGCCTGCCTGCTTTGCCCGATTTGGGGTAAAAGTTGCTCTGTTTTTTTATTAAAAAATTCAATGTTTACATAAATATTTCCAATATTTACATACAAGCCACGCCCAGGCAGTCACATGACCACCAAGCCATGCCCACACATTAGGCCACGCCCACAGAGCCGTTTGTTAAGAAATTTGACTCTCACCCCTGCCTTAACAACAGAACTTTGGGCCACCATTCTGGTCGTTAAGTCGAGGACTATCTGCATCTTCAAGCTTCAGTTTCCTGGTTTTACTCCAGGAGTACAACCCTGTTAAGCGAAGGCTGCCATCTGCTGGGAAGAAAGTTTGAAGGTTTTGCCATCCTAAAGGCATCCTAAAGGTAGTGCCAAGCTTGGATCGGCTTGGATCTCACACCAATCCAGCTAGTCCTCAACTTAACAGCCATAATTAATACCTGTGAAATATGAGTACCGCTTTATGGTTCCTCCCCGAGTTTGGTGTCCTTCCCAGTGTGTGTTCTGATATCTGTGGGTGTCTTCAAGCCCTTATCTTGCCTGGTTTGTGTTGCTTTTTCCCTTCTTCTTGTAGCTGTTTGCGTGAGAGTTTTTTTTGTCTTCCATCAAGGATATTCGGAGCTTGGAAGCAAAGTGAAGGAATAAAAGGGGCTTCACCTAGTTTTTTGTGACTGTGTTTATTTTGTATCCCACCCTGGGTCATCACAGTTTACTGGATACCGCCTAAGTGAATTAACGATACAGGCAAATCCTTGACTTGCTGAGTGACCGCTCAAAGTTACAACGGCCCTGAAAAAAACGTGACTTACGTCACTTTTTTCCACACTTAACGCCCGTTGCAGCATCCCCGTGGTCATTTCATCCAAACGCAGACGCCTGGCGCCCGACCCATTTTATGACGGCTGCGGCGTCCCGGTGTCACGGGGTCATCTTTTGCGTCCTTCCGACCAGCAAAGTCAGCGGGGAAGCTGGATTCGTTGAACAGCTGCAGAGATTCACTTAACAACGGTGGCAAGAAAGGTCGTTAAAAATGGGAGGGTGCAGTATTGCGGGCTTACTCTGCCCACTGCCAGCAGTTTGATCCTGACCAGTTCAAGGTGGACTCAGCCTTCGGTCCTTCTGAGGTCGGTATAACGAGGACCCAGATTGTTGGGGGCAAGAGGCTGGCTTTGTAAACTGCTTAGAGAGGGCTGGAAAAGCACTATGAAGCGGCATATAAGTCCAAGGACTATGGCCATTGTGGTCGTAAGCCAACCTGTATTACATTCTCCCCTTGGGATAAAAACCTAACATGCATAAAACATATAGAGATTAAGTACAAGTAGTCCTCTACTTACGACCTTTCTCGCTGCGGTTGTTAAGTTTGCAGTGCGATTGTTAAGTGAACCTGGCTTCCCCCGTTGCCATTTGCTTGTCAGAAGGTTGCCAAAGCGGATTATGGGACTCCGGGAGGCTGCAACCGTCATAAATAGGAGTCACTTGCCAAGTGTCTGAATTTTGATCATGGGACCCAGGGAGATGATAACAACGGTCTTAACTGTGAAAACCGGTCATCAGTCCCTTTTTTTCAGTATCATAGTAACTTTGAATGGTCACTAAATGAACTATGGTTAAATCAAGGACTACCTGTAATTACTGCAGATCAATAATAACCAGGTGAGCTTCCTCAGGGAGGTAAGTTTCCTTCCTTCCTTCCTTCCTTCCTTCCTTCCTTCCTTCCTTCCTTCCTTCCTTCCTTCCTTCCTTCCTTCCTTCCTTCCTTCCTTTCCTTCCTTCCTTCCCACCCTCCCTCCCTCCCTCAGTGGTTTACAGAGTCAGCCTCTGGCCCCCAACAATCTGGGTCCTCATTTTACCCACCTCAGAAGGACGGAAGGCTGAGTCAACCTGGAGCCCATCAGGATGGAACTGCTGGCAGTGGGCAGAACTAGACTGCAATACTGAGTTCTAACCACTGCCCCACTATGGCTTGTTCTTTCGTTCCTTCCCTTCCCTTCCCCCTCCCTCTTTCTTTCTTTCTTTCTTTCTTTCTTTCTTTCTTTCTTTCTTTCT